GATTCTAGTTTGGACTCTGATTTATTGTGTTTTTTTTACAATTATTTTTCTTATACTCTATCTATCTCAATTTAACTGTAAATTATGCTGGAAAGCAGGTACTGGTATATAAATAATAGTTAAATATTATCGTTAATTAAATTAATAATACTATTATTATTGTTGTTGTTGTTGTTGTTTTGATAGCTAACAATAACGATTTATTGGATAGAGGTGCACCTTAATTAATGTTATTGTTCTTGAGTTGTGAATGTGGGCATGTGGGCACCCAGTCTTTTATAACGCGGTGGAATTCTAATTCAATTTATCGAATACAAATATTATACGCAATTGCAAAAAAAACTTGGTTTAGTTTATTATGCATATCTGGCGATGAAAATTGGAATGATCAATGGTCATTGACTATGTCTGAAGTTTATAGAAGCCAGAGTCCACCTGCACCAACAAGGATATGTCAGAAATTCGACTGGAGAATCACGAAAATCGGCTATGTTCAGATTTATACGCAATGACAATGTAAGATTTAGAGCTACAAGAAAATCTGTGTTTAGGAAACAAAGTCATCCATCGTGGATGCAAAATATGAAGTTCAAGAAACTCGATTGAGCCAAATGAGATTGTGTACTAGTAAAAGTGTTTAAGTGTTAACCTCGACAATCGTACCTTCGCCGGATGACAGTCATCTTTGTATGGGTAGGGAGGTGGATGAGTGTCCCTTCCTGGCGATTGATTTTTTCTATGTGATCCATAGTTTGTTTTACCAAATATATGTTGTTATTTTTTCCAGTGTTTTGTAAAATGCATTATCAAATTAGTACTTTTTTTCTCAAGGATACATTAACAGATGTGTTTGTTTTATGGACAGCTGTGTGAAACGCTCTGGTCATCTATTTGGTCACGGTCCGTTGAGGGACTTTGGCTTGGCCGTAGATCTCTGTCAAGGACAGCTGGTGTTTTCGGACATTCTGTGTATTAAACTTTCGATCTAAAATATTCATTTAAAAAATAGGAATTAGGTGAATTAGAAGAAAGCTATGCAAGTCTCGCTATAACGCTGCCCACGTGAACGCTGCCTGGCCATATAAGTTTACTGCACACAAGAGTTGGGGGGTTGGCGATGTTTCTTGTATCAGCGATGTGGCCAATCACTGTGCGTTTTTGGAACACGTGACGCACGTCCTGTAGGGATTACACTCCATAGCTGGTAGTAAAATATCGCGAGTGACCGGGACAGTCTGTGCTTGGGAAGATTTTTTTCCCAGTTTTACCGACCTTATATCGGATTCTTCGAATATTCCATCGGAAGTATGGGTTCGCTATACATGCAGGTGTCTACATAGAAAGAAATTTGTGTTATTGTAACCGCGATCGCGGTTTATTCAAGGTGTATTTTTACCGCTCGTCCGTGCCGCTGTGGTATATTTACATTCAGGATATTCGGCTAGGCTGCTCTTGCAGTACACTCGAGTCGCGGTGATCATATCCCAGTCAACAGTGGATAGCTTAAATTCAACTGTTATACGTCGGAGCCTATATAGACTGTATTGTAATCATGGAAAGCAACATTGAACGCGATTGCAGTGCCCTTGGTGGCTTATTCCAGACGATCATGAACGACATGAAGGTAAACCTTTATATTTATTCGCATTGTAATTTTCCCCGCCGCGCCGCGAAAAATTTACGATATGATTAGAGGTTTGCGCTGTTCACAACTTGAGATCGCCGCAACACAATGAAGCTTTGTGGAATTATGTACTGTTCTGATCGACGTCTGTCTGACAAATCGGTGATCCATTCGGAAAAAAAATCTTAATTTTACTGGTGATATTTGCATATCGACTACACAAAGTTATAATTACGTTTATGGCCGGTATTTTTTTTTTCATGGTTTGTTTTGTATTTGTATTAGCTATAGTGTTATTTCACGTGCACGTTGACCCTTAGAGTGGAACTATGCAATCTAGTCGGCTGACTGGCTGGCATGCAGGCAGGCGGCAAACTCTATGCTCCCTCTATCAACAGAAAATGAATAAAATGAGATTTTTCCCCCTCAAATTTACTGAAAAGATGAATTAATAAAAATTACATTGTGACGTATAACGGAATAAAAGCTATTTCTTATTTTTTTCCCTCAATACAACATTTAATATCGTACAAAAATCTGTAGAACGTCCAGGCAAGTCCTGTCACCCATTTGTCAGAATAGTCTGAGTGCTGGCTACCGCCAGTCAGATATACTGGTATTGTTGTTATGGTTGCTTTTTATAAAAATAAATGTCTCCATTTCTAGACTCTGCCATCAGATATGAAAGTGTGAAAGTGAAGTACCATTTTTATATTTTAGTTTCTAGTGTTTTTTTCATTCGTTTCAAAATTCAATCATAAAAAATATCATATTTGTTCTTTTGTGTCCAATTCATAATTTTTTTTTTTTTTTACAGACAAGTTCCCCAGTATGGGAAGATTTCATGAATAAAGCAACTAAACTTCACCACACACTCAAGTAAGTAAATTTAAAACGACATCACTCGTTGCCATGGCGATGTCAAAAATGATGAAGAGATATGCATGACCTTAGGCTGTGCAGTGAAAAGTGTGTGTGATTATATATGCAAATGAGAGTACTGTAAAAAAAAAACGTTAATATTTGTGCACATATTTTTTTAAATATATTTTTTTAGGGCTACCCTGCTAGCAACTGCTGCTTTTCTCGAAGCATTTCAAAAAATTGCAGATATGGCAACAAATACTCGAGGTATGTGGTGTACATTCTTCAACTTTTCCCCTGCATATCCGCACCTTGTTGTGAAAAAGTCACAGTACAGTACATACCTGTCATTACCTTTGCCGTTACTTGTCTTTCAGGTTACGGTCAATAGATGTAATGTTCTACGATAAAGACCCATTGCATTCCCGCCAAACACAAAACACTCAAAAAAGCTTTTACGTCTTGAATTACCAAGTGTGAAAAATATGATAAACACTAACTGAAATTGTTGTTTAAATTCGTTTTTTTTTTTTAAACATAAATATACTTTAATTTCCCAGCTAAAGTATCCTGTGGCCTTTTTTTGATGAATGAAATTAAGCGCGCTAGGGTTTCTTATTTTGTCCATTTTTAAAAATGTAGATTTTGATAACAAAGTCAAAGGAAAGCTCACAACTGACTGAACATAACTTATAGCTAGTACCGGTATATAGCTTAGTTTTAGAATCTTAGCGTCTAAATGGAAAGAAAGATGTCTGTATCTTCATGTCAGAGGAGGTAATCCAAGCTGTGAGTGAAAAGGGGTACAATTAGGGAGATACATGTCACCACAGGCTAATTTGATCATTTGATACTGTACAGTCAAATCAACTCCAGCTTTGCTGTAAACATCCATTCAAAAATGCCCCTGCAGTGCCTCATCGGTTAATAACCTGGCCTCCCTGGCATCCTAGTGGGATGACTAGATAAATTAATGTTCATAATATTGACCCAGTGGAGGATAACCCATGCTGAGCTGTTTCTATGGTGTTGCCCTGCTTGAACCCAAGCTGCTAGATAAGCCACGCCAAGAAGTGGTGCCGGAAATGGGAATGAATAGGCCAATGAATTAGGCGGGTTAGGGTGATAGAGGTCAGAACATGTGTACAATAAGTAAATAAAAAAACTAAAAAGTTGAATGGTAGTACGATATAGTGTTGAAATATTATACGTGGGTATCTTTCGTATCAATTAATACCATACAAAACATACTATGGTCACTTGTCATGTTGTGGCCAGAGTGGTATTACCGTTTGCGATAAGTTGAGTAATTACTGACGAGTTAGTATATGAAAGTCATTCTTTTTCATACTCAGAGTGATCTCGTAAAATTAAACAGTTGCATTGGTGAGATATGCTTGTGCATGAGACATCCCCTCACAGGACATTGAAACCAATTAAACATGACACAATATAGGTCAATATATCCATTGTCAGTACTTCCGGCCATGTTATGTTACGTTCATTTTGTGCAAACTTTCGCTTTAAGCAATATGGTTCAGAGAAAGTTCTCTGACTATGGATGTGAAAGGGGAGCTGATCATCCACCTGGTTCATACCCCCCTTCTCCACTGGTGGTGATCAGTCACACATAGGAGGAGGATAATACACTCGCCCATATGTTGTGATATCTTTGAATCAGCCCGCACTGACTGGTTGGCAGAAAAAAAAACAGTTTACATTGTACTCTACTTTCATTGTGACATGTGTGTAGGCTGTTTTTTGGCAAATGTCCAAAAGTCACACCCTATAAGCCCAATATTAGAAAAAAAGTCTTATACTTGAAGTTTGTTAGAATCCAAATGTCGATAAGAAATAGAATTGCTTGTCAAATCTGCTTTTCATTACACGTTACACATAATCCAGTGTCCTGTCGTTGCTAACTTCATTTTGACCATGGCCATGCATGGCTGAGCTGTCTATTGTGCCTGTGTTTAATTCCTTCCTCTCTATTGTATTAACTTCCCGTCAGTCTTTCCACACCCAGAATGTAGAAAACAATTACTAAGCAGTCAAACTGGAATCTGGTCTTGTTTAATTCTGTCTGATTGAGTCTGTCCCCTTCCACGGAGCCTAATTGAATTCTTACAGAATCGTATTATTGATTCTAACCAATCTAGCTAGCTCTAACCCTTTAATGTTTTCCAGCAGCACGACCCAGGAAATTAATTTCCATCACTGCCGTTGAATCATTTATATTAAGAGCGACTAGTCGTCTCGTACGAGAATAAATCACATTGCTTTTATATTAATTTAATACCAAGCTGCTAAAACTAATATTACGTGGAGTGTTTTGAAATAGTACTGAGTACTTTTTTCATTTTGGATGGAGTGGTACAATTTCCTACAGTGAAGAGATCGCAAGGTTTCTCCAACTTGATGGGCGATTGTCTTTAATTACTCAAATACCAGTGTTACTGGCAATTTTGTTGAATCCTTCTTAACTTGTATGATAAATTATGTTCGTACTGAATAATTAAATGAGAACACAGTCACACTTTACCGAGAATGTGATTATGGGTAATATAACTTCTGTGTTTTTTATGGCAGAAATTCATTAATTAATTAGCAAATTGAAGGTTGGGTGGGAATAAATTACCATTCCATGTTTTCTGTTGTTTGGTTGGTCAGAAATTGTTAATTGATGACTGTTTTGTTACCATCTTAGAGAGTCTTTAAATTTCACGGTACGATAAGGGGACTGGTATCATAATTAGACCTGCTCATGTGAATTTTGATTAATTTGATAATTTGTTTTCATTGTTTATGTTTTCTCACAACTTAGTGGGGGATTGTCAGGAACTAGTTCTCGTTACTGTATGTCAGTGTTTTAATTGGATGTCATTGCTACATAGAGACATGTTTTAAAACTGAAGATTAAGTTGTTGTGGTCATGTTCTCATCATCTGGGTTTGACCCCAACCCTGACATACATGTAGCTAGTCTGATGTTCATTTCACGTTTGTGATGAAACCTTGACCTGCATAAGACATTTTCAAGCCAAATAATTTAATTTTGTGAATTTCATGAGTAGAGCAAAATCATAAAATCTTGTAAATGTCTGGGTTTCCATGGTGACTACAGATTAATTGACTGTCAACGCTTGTCCATAATGTGTGTGTGAAAGAATTCAGTTTTGTCGCATACTTTTCTTATTGGGCCTTTTGATCAAAGTTGTGAAGAAAACCCTCGCTGAGAACAATTGAAGATTTACACAACGCCCGGTGAAAGCCTCCTATGATAGCCGAAATGCATGGGAAAGAACAGCAAATGTTCTCCAAATCATGAAATAGCGAAAACAGTAGCAAAATCTTTACGTTTACTGTACTTTTAGTCATGGCATACATTTACCTATCGTAACAACATGCAAATATTTTTTGTGAAATTAATTTCACTTTTTCACCCATTTGGAAAAAGTGAATTTTGCTCAATATGGATTTTCAAAAAAATAGCAAAACGTATAGTTCATGTTAAATTTTATTCAAATTTAGACTTCTACTCTATGTAGTGTATCATCATGTATTTATTCCTAAAGATTTTGATATTCTTTATAAATATTTCAATACTTTTGTTATTGCATAGATACGCCATTCAACATTGAATATGTAGAATCGCTATTATAACTTGTGAACTTGTGAACTTGTGCATTCAATACTGGGATTCTCGACCCAGTTTAATAATCCGTACATGTGCGTTAGTGTTCAAAAACTTCATTGAGAGGCCCATCCCTCTTTTGTACTTGTAGACTAGGAAGCCTATCAACGCTTGTATTTGATCAGCTCTACCCTGATCTGACCTTTTGCTACCTGAGTCTTGTCATTACTCACAGTATTGGCCACATTACGTTGTTCAGTGCAGTCTGAGAGGGTAGCGGCTTAGGTACATGTAGGAGGGTGTCATCCATCCGTTCTATTTTAAACCCAGCCCCTTTTCTGCTGACGATGTGTAATTTGTCCCAACCCACTAAAAAATTCATATTGAGGAAACGGACATTTTCATATTTTGCTACTCATCCATCGTCAGCGTCCTGGTGATTAATAGTTTAAATATTTCATTGATGTATGCCCCCATTGATTACACATGGCTGGCTAATAGAGTTATGAGTTTTCCAGGGTGTGTTACCTGGTTGCTACATTATCACACGCTTGTGACAGAAAGGTGATTGATTTTATAACCTGTATTATATTCTGCGTATGTTAATAAAAAAAAAATATTTTATATATTTGATGTGGGTGCAATACAGAATCAACATGTTCGAAACAAAACTGTAGTAGGGTAGGTTTAGTCAAATATCTGCCTGAAACTGCATTTTTCTTCCGATCGGAACTAAATCAACATAGATGATGGCTCTTCCCCTTCCTTGACACACATGGTTGCTAAGCAACTAGAGAACTGGTTTTTTGCTATTATCTATATGATATGAATAGTCCAATTTGGCCTAAAGATCTGGTGCAGAGATGTTCAAAAAGATTAATAAGAAAAACTGAAGCACAAACTGACCTAATATGTATCTATTTTTATTGCTGACCTTAGATGAGTTTTGCTTGAAAGCATACAACTATATAATTATGCAGGATGTTCTTAGAATATTAAGAAAACTACAGTGCTGAGAGGGCACCTGGTTTCAAGGCCAAATTTGATAAAAATGTCTCAAGCATAAAAGAATAACAGCGAATTATTTAGAATATCTATTTTAGGAACACAATGGCTAGTTCTTCAGACATCAAAACATTTAGCTTGATTGCCTCCCTGAAGTTTAAGTCGTGATACTGAATGAACAATGTCATGTGTATTTATCCTTCAATTAAGTACAAATTAGGCATGGTGTAGGTAAGATGAAAACACATTCACAGTTGACAAAAGTGTGTGTACAGCCTGTATTCTGTTACAACAACAACTTCTATCACAATGTGTTAATGGCCTTGAAATAACTGCAAAATTCCTGCCTTTCTGTGTTAATGAATATATTTATAAAGCCATGTTGAATGCTTGCCAAGCCACCCTATGATGTAGTACTGTTGTCGATTGCTAATACGGATGAAAAGTGAGACAGGTAGGAGTGAAGTGCAAGCGAATAACGTTTTCATCTAGGATTGTGATTGGCAATTATTCAGTTACACGTTGATGGATGCTTCATTGTGGATTCGTAATACGGCTAACAGTTGGATATCGCTTTCCCATGCTGTCTTGTTTTGATGGTTTAAATAAGGTGCTATTAATAAATTACT